TGCGAATCAGAATAAAATTAGGTGGCTGTTTTAATGCGACAAAAAGTGAAAACGTTCAGCTGGTATGAATTGTCCTGCAAGGCTCCGTAAATGGATGGAAAAAATATTTCTGAGTGGTTGTTGGTCGCCCAGACCGAATCATCGGTAATGAGCAGAGGTTTACCTCCATGATTGGAAGAGCCGTGGAAAAGGCAAGCGAGGTCTGCGTCATGTGATTTAAATGACCCTGAGCAGAAGTTGATCATTAGAGCTAAGTGCACCTGTTTGATTTATGCAGAAATGTGCGCGCCCCAAAAAAGTGGCTCTGGTTTCGCAGAAATTCAGACACCGAAGTTCAGAGGGAGAAGAAATGCACAGAGATCAGTCGGAGGCGCGAGTCAGTCTATCCGAGAGGGAGGTCACGGGTAATCTAATCGCGTCTCAGTACAACAGCATGGATGCGCCTTAGATTCAAAACTCGATAGAGCACGAGTAACCAGAAGGGAGCAGAACATCTCGTTAGGTAGAAAACAAGTGAGGAGGAAAAACAACAAAAACATGAGTTTATTCTGAAATGTAAGTGAGGTATTTGCCGGTGCCTCCTGGTTTCTGTTCGGGCTTTTGTTATCAAGACCAACCTAAACCCACACCACGCACAATGCTCACATCAACCGAATATACTCTTAGTGGTGACAATCTGGTGTGACTAATTTTTTAAGGTCATAAAACTCAAAATGCATAAGTTGCGGGCTTTGATTTCTGCGAAGTGCGGGCGAGCAGATTGCCTCTGATTACAGTCACCAGCGAAGCAATCAGTCACTCTTTAATCAGAGTATTAGAACATGACAGCTGTTGTACAGTCAATCTACAGCGCTAATGCAGCTGTATTTTAAACCTTTGCACATTTCTGTGTGACGTTAAAGTGCAGATCTCTAACCAGAATAAACTCTGCCGAACGTTAAAAACAGACTCCACACGATTACATGGCAATCTGGGAGCATTATTTTGCTTTTTATAACTACTGTAATTAGGGATAGCCATAAACATTTTCTAAAGATGTAGAGTACATTTTGCAAAATGCACCTTTATTTTGACTCAGAGCGTATTTTCAGAAATGCCAGTTAGAAAACAGCATAACTTACTTATTAAGTTTTTTTTTTTTGCCATTTCTCTGGCTGGTCACAATGTAAACATCTACACTCTAATGAGTTTTACACTATTATTAAGTAGCTTTTTCCCTATAAGACATATAGAATGTATCAAAATGTAAGTACAGGTTAGACTTTCAGGACATTTGGTTGAATCGTGTAAAAGTGGCCATTATTTGTACTGACCGCTCTGACCCTGTTGCACATCTTCTCCCACAGTCATTGGCAGACGAGGTTGGAAGTGTAACAAGTTGGCCACGAATGCCACTAGAAATTCACTTCTCCTTCGCAGTGCTGTTTCAGCTGTTTATTACCAACAAGCAACTGGTTTTCATGTATAGGCTGAACCAAGAAACTAACACTGGATTTTATAAACACCTCACTGAATCTTCTTCAAAACCCTGTGGAGTCGCTGTTGGTGGAGCCCAGCAGCAGTTTCAGGATGGTGGCTTTTAAAAATGTAAAAGTGTCTAATTCTAGTCCTCCAGCTGACATCTTTGTCTCTGCTGGGTAAGAATATCGCACCCAAATCAGAATTGAGTCAAAGCTTCGTTACATAATGTAGAAACCAGTCCAGCATTTTGCTGTTTTCAAAAATAAACCCTCTTCTGTCTTTCCCTATCTACTCTCTACTGCTTAGGATTCTGATCCTTCTTTTATTGTAGCTAGCTGCGCCTACAAGATTTGTTTTCATGGACATAATAAATCACTAATCTGTGAATGAACATAGAAAACAACAGAGATGTGAAACGAGCAGGCTTTTTAATCTTCTCCCTGGGATTTGACTCTGACCGACGCGGACCTCGTCATCCTCTCAGGGGCTATCTCACTCTTCTTCCTGCATTCACTCTTTTTCTATAAAGCACAAAAAGGCCCCACTCTGCCCGATGATAAAACAAACCTACCGGCCAGTGGGATTTTAGACCAGGGAAGATTAGCTGGAGGATCTCCTTCCAGTCTTTAGTAATCAGATGATGACGTGATTATAACAGAGACGTGTGTGTGTGTGTGTGTATCTCAGACCAACCCAATTGCAGCCTGGTTTTTCTATTCTTGCCGCCCCGGCTTGCAGCCTGCCTGCCAACTGTACCTGTATTTCTACATCAATTATTGACTTTATGTCGTCTTTAAGTTTCTCCTCACTGCTGGTTGGGCGGTCCGTCTTCCCAGATTTGCCCCCTCTGTTCGCCTTTCGTTTTCTCTGCCACCTTTGCAGAGTGATCAAGAAATCAAGCGGGCTAAAGACAATTCCCCCCCCCCCATTACTGAAGAAAAATGGCAAAATTCACAGGAGCTGTGAGATAACGGTTGTCATAACATCCTTTCTTCTGTGGAGACATCCGGTCTTTAACTGCTTGGTTCAGACTATGATTAGCGAGGATGCTCATATATTATCTTCAGAATAATAATTATTTTCTGCATTTATCTAAATGTATTTGAGGGGGAAAAAATGAAAATAAACCCTGAGAAACCTCCCACAAATGAAAAGCACTCAAAATGTTTGCAAAGCGGATCATTCACATTTTTTTCAACTCTTCGAAATGATGGAGCGGAAAACTGGCTACTTGATAACAGATTTGAACGTTAATACTCATATATGATGTTCAGCAAACAAACTGGTGTTTGAGTCTCACTGAGTTTGCTCTTAAAGTAAGAAGTATTTGACACACTGTCTGCTCAGTTGACAGTGAAAGCAAAGAATATCAACATTATCGTTCACAACTGCTTCTGTTCAATGACTGAAATCCTATAAAAGTTGCCCCAGTTACTGCCTCACCTATTATCGTGATTGTTACAAGGAGAAGGGGGGAAAACTCCAGAGTGCCTGTGCAATTATTTAGAATCATTCTTTGTCTGCCCCCGTTGACTCAGTTTGATTAATTTCTCTGACGTGCATTTGGAGAGCGATTCAAACCTCTTCAGTTTTTTTAACCTGCAAATTACTTTCTGCTTCAGACAGCGAAATGTGTTCATATAGTTCAACATTTATATCTTTTATAAACTCGTCACATCACACTCAGTGAAAATTTTTTTTTTTCTTGTCCTACAGACAGATGTTTTACAGAAAAAAAATAACATTCTTTTCTTTATCTGAATGTTTTGTGAACTCTCCTACGGTTTTATGTTCTTTTCAACAATAATTGGAGAACAGAAATGTTTACAGTAGCAGTCCTGCAGTGGTGTTCAGCTGCAGGGCTGCTCTTGACAAACTCTTTTGTTTAAAACAGACTTTACAAGATCTCATTCTAGCTCCGCAGTCACAGCTCTGCGATTTCTCAAAGCAACGCTGTTTTAATAGTCCGCATCCTCCGGTGTCGAGTTGCGTCTTTCATCTGGGGTTACACTACCCAGAGTTGGATCGTTCTCCGTTTAAGTTTGCTTACGTGACCCGCGCTGCACTCCCTCTCAACGCCTTCGGCGGCTCTGCAGATTCTCGTTCCGGAGACTTCGTCGAACAATTAGCCGTTTTTGGAAGCTGAACAGGTTACACACATTTGGACTGTCAATTACACAGGTACAAGATACTGGCATTTATGAATGCCGGACTTGTCTTTGTAAAACCTAATATTTTTCCAACCTACTCACATTAGGCATTACTTTGTGCTAACCTACAACTGAAAGTCTCTGTAAATAAAAGCCATTGATATTGGTGATTTTCATATGATAAAATGTTGTCAAGTTGAAAGACTACATTAGGAGGCAGGGTAGAGGTAAAACTGGCATTCCTATTTTTGAAGATATGAAATGATGGATTCATATTTCATTCTGTAAAATAAGGTTGTCAATAATTTAAGCCAGAAAAGTAGATGTTGTTAATTGCATATAATCAGAGAGCTCTTCTACAGTTTTGCGCTACAGTGGCCTAGAAGGGTCAACAAAATGCAAAAACCACCATAAAACAGCAAAAGCCAAAGTGCTGCGTTTTAGCTTCACTTCTGTTTTGGCAACAATCCTTCCAGGCCACTGTAATAAGCAATATGCTTATTTTTAAAAGCTGTTTGTGGTTGCATTGTGATCGTTGTAATCATACATTTAACAAATCCGAAAGCACAACTTACTAGTGTAGTTTTCAAGAGCTAAATTTGTTTCTGCAGCACAGACTGAAAAAAAAGAAAAGGTGACTGGAGGAGGCATGAAAAAGCTGTCTACTGACACTGTATCTGGCATGTCTGATGAGATGAGTCTCTCCAGTCGCCTCAATATGCAGAACACAGCAAGAGGACTTTGTTTTCTCAATAGCTTGGAAGGAAAAGTCTTTCCTGACATTAAAACCTGTCGTAAATCAGATTGAGGATCTGTCTGAGTAAAGAGGAAGGTGGGCTGGTGTTTGATGTTATGCAAGATTGTGAATCCATTGAGAGATGGAGACAAAGAGGAATGAGAAGTCAACACATGATGATGGAACCTTGTTGAACTGCAGAAGTTGTTCCTTTACTGTTCTTAATGAAGCTGTAAAGGGTTGGGCTTTTAAGAGTCTGAAGCTTTTTATTTACCGGTATGAAGTGACGAAATGGCAGCACAAGCTGAAAACCTTCTCCAACATTTGGGAGTGTTTGCATCAGCATCAAAAACCCCATGGTTTGATCAATCAATCAATCAATCATCAATCAAACCTTATCTGTACAGCACATTTCAGCAACAAGGCATTTCAAAGGGCTTTACGACTTGAAAACACAAAGTCATGCAACATAGAATCAACAATCTAAATTTACAATTAGTCAAGTGCCGATCATTAAATTCTTAATCAATTATGCTTCAAAGGCAACTCTAAACAGTGTTTCAGCAGTTTTGCAGTTTTCTGGAAGTTTGTTCCAGATTTGTGGTGCACAGAAGCTGAATGCTGCTGTTATATCAACTTTTTCTTCCCCTCAGGTGGACGCCGCCGCTCGGAGCCCGACGAGGCCGAGCTGTTGAGGGTCAGCAGGAGGTTGGTGGAGGACGCTGTCAGCCGCGCCTTGCAACAGTACAAACAGGAAACCCTTCAAAACGGGGGCGGGCCCAACGCCGCAGCGCTCCAGTCGCCTGGAAGCGCAGAGGAGACGAAGACGGACACTACGGCTAACTCCTCCACGGACAACAGGAAGTGACACCTTTGCGCGGAGGCGCACAGACTCTGAACATCCGGCGGCCCAGAAAAGATCAGCTAGGCCTGGCTAAGCAGGGGAACGGTGCGCTAAGACCCGCCCTCAAAGCCAGAACCAATCACAGCACGCCTCCCACCTGAGCTAGCTGGGCAAAGTGCTCAATAATTAGATAACATAGCTTCACGTCCTAGCAGTGGTGACTGTCCTAGCAAGACACCTTGCTAATTAATTTGCCGCTGTCCAGACATGGACGTATGTGAAGCACTCCTCTAAATACAGGCCTCACTGTGAGCTGCCACAACAAACTGCCCATTCAGAGTAGAGGGTTCAATTTTCTAGGAAATGTTGGTTCGTCTTCACCTGCGCTCCGAATGAGCTCGGAGACGTCCTTGCGGTCAGTTTCATCGCTCATCACTGTGTGGCCCGAGCTGGTCTGACTCACCGAGGCCGGTTTCTTCCAACTTGAATCGTGGTTCAGAGTGTCCGACTTTGGCCCTCGCACGCCTTCGTTTGTCCAGCTGCCGTCTTCAGGACATGGGTTTTCTTTAGCCTTCCAGCATTTTAACTGTTCAGACTTCTGCCTCCACCAGGTCACAGAAACACAAGCTTTACATGTTGCGTGAAAGCCCTGTTTTACCCAAGTGGCAATCATTTGGCTCGGTGGCTGCTGATGATGGGTTTTGAAGCCGATCTGGACTCCAGCGTCCAGATTCTTCCACGCGGTGCATTAAAATAAAAGATTAATAACACTAACGTCACACAGTTCAGGAGGCCTGGACGCAGCCAGCGCCAGGAAACAACACGATCACTTGTTGCCAAGAACACATCTGTACTTGATCAATGCCAAAACTGACACCATTGTATTGCTTTCCTACCTACTGTCTATTCTGTTTGAAAGAGTAGAGAGAAAAGTATTTATTTTATGTCTGCCGTTTTAAAATCTGAGGCAAACTCTTAGCGCTGAATTGTCGAAGTCAAGCTGGAGTCTGTTCTGTTTGAAGCTCCGCGTTTTTTTCTTTCTGGACGCTTTTAATCGTAATCTGAGAAGCTTTTGTTTGGTAAAAACGTGCGGGCAGTGATTCCGATCACAGCTCACAAGCTCTTCAGTTTACCATCTTCCTTTTGTTTCTTGTTTTTGATTTTGTCTTTGCGTCGCGTGCGGCTTCGCAGATTATTTAATGAATTTAGGGCGATATTTGACAGTGAAGGATAAAACAAAGACAAACAAAGACAAACAGAGTCTTTTCATTACTTTTAAAGTTTCATCTGTTCTCTGTAAGTTAAATATAATTGAATGTTTTTTTAAAAAGTATTTTTTTCTGCTATCTACCAGTAAAATTACATTTTTGAAAATCTTAAAAGCACAGAATTTTACATTTTTCTTTTTAACTGTTTTATTTTATTTTTAATTATTATTTCAGCTTTGGTGGTGGCATTACAAGTTTTTGTGGTTATAAGTTACTTGGCGTAAAGACAAGCAGGTAACATTTGTAAATGGGGTGACAATATCTCCTAAATGTCAACCTTTGGTTTAAAATTTTGTAGTAAAACAACAAGAAAACCCACCAAACAAACGTGGAAACAGCCTTAGTGTTGAATCCAAGCTATTTGCAGTTTTCGAATCCAAACAGCTTGGAGCTTGAAATTACAGTTCAGTCCCTGTGAAATCCACTGAACCACTGTCACTGTGGACAGCAGCTCGTTCTGTCTCAAGGTGGACTTTGGAGGTTTTTTGTTGGTTTGCTTTGATCTTTTGCTGTCACCAGATCCTTAAATCTCCATGAAAAATCCCCTTTAAATGCAAAAGTTCTCCTGTTGGCCTCTGTGACTGTCCAACTGTCTCTGAAAGCGTGTGTGTGTGCGTTCTCATTCACATCGTGTACAAGAGTTGTTTGATCAGTGGATCCCCTTAGAAACTCCTGTCTGTATCAATCAAGACACCATTCTGTCCTGTGTCAACGACAAATGAGCCTTTTTCATTTGTCTTTCCATGTATCTACATGTATGATGGGCGATGTGCGTGTACGAGTGCGTGTTCTTTGTACAGTGTATTGTACATCTTGTTCTGTCGTGTCTGAACAATAAAACAGGATATGAGATTTAAAACCAACATCTATCTCTATGTCCTTGGTTTAGATATTCATAAAACATCACTGCAATTGTCTGTGTACCTCCTGTATGCTGAAGGTAAAGCCATTTTAGAGAGCGACACTGTATGTGGTTCTTAAAGTTCTTAAAGGAGCAGCACAGGCACCTTTTAAAGTTCCACATTTTCTAAGACTGAATACCAAACCCTCTGCAAAGTACGGCTTCCTCCAATGGGTGCCAGATTCAGCCGGGGTAGCCGAATCTGGATTTGGAGCGATGTCCACTTTTATAATTTTATGCTAGATCTGTTTTCTTTTTGAGAGCTGAAAACATATTCAGCATTTTCAAGCTGTTGCAAAATGTTTTGGATGGGACCTCAAGTACTGGCGATTGGTTTTGGGAACAAAGCAATTTAGAGGCGAAAATTTGCAATTTACACATCCACTGTTTATTAATTGGGGCTTTTACAAACTGTAAAAATTCAACACTCCAGGTACATTTAATGGGTTCGTTTGCCATTTTTAAGCATTACAAGCCTTTTTTTTTTTTTTTTGCTGGAGCTATGCTAATTATAAGCCAGCATTTTCACTTTGAGTGCACACCAAGAGTTTCCTCAGTATGCCGCAAAGGAGAGGGTACTCCGATGAAAACAGAAAATACGGCCAATAATGAGCAAATTCTGTGAAAAGAGGTTCTTTTTTTGAAAGACACTTGTACTCCTTGCTCCTCAGTGACTGATTTATTTATTTTTTCTGTTTCATGCTATCAACACGTTTAGGTTTTCTCACTCTAAAAGAGAACTTTGGCATCTTCATTGGGAAATTTTGGAGAAAAAAAAATTCTCGGTCCTCAAGAATCACAACCAAAAAGCCCTGCCACATTTTGCATCTTTAAGTATTCTAATTTTAAGTGTTTACACTTTGAATACACCCACAGGAGAGCCGCTTGGCCTGCAGACCAAAGAGGAGGGAGGGCAGCAATGAAAACAGAAAATATTTGCAGCCATTTTTATTTCAAAGTTCAGTGAAATCTGGCTTTGAAGTAATAAGTTGTTACTGGAAAAAAATGTATAATTAATAATTTGCTTTAGAGATCAGCTTTTCCCTGGAAAAGACTGGCAGCTCAATGCTGATTTTTTTTTATTTTATTTTTTTTGAACAATGAGAACACAAAACGTTAACAATTTAAGACTCAACACATTTAACATCTTGCAACAATGTAGTCTATGAGTCTTGCAACATTTAGACCAGATAAAGTCATAATCCTTTATCTGGTCTCTTCCCAGACATTTGAAATACATTTTCAAAAATGAAGCTGGTAAACAAACACGACTGCTGTGTCTGTTCCGTGGCTTTCCTCGGCATTATCAAGGACACCTTTTAATAAATGAAAAATAAGTGCCAAGTCTGCGAAATGGGTCACGGCGGGTGCCGCCAACCGACATAAAAAAACAAAAAACTAAGAAGCTCTTACATTTCACAGCTTCCCTCGTGATGTGAGTATCTGTTGAATCACACGGAGTGATGCAGCCTCGGTGAGGGTGTGATTTATTAGCTGGCTGACCTATCTGTCGCTTCGGAGAGAAAACCAGCAGCTTAAAAGCAGCGGCCTGCCAAATGGGGCCGTCAGCGGCGTCATGATCCGAGGTGGCCGAGGGCGGCTCGCGAGCTGCTCTGGCGACGTTACCGAGTTTGTCTGAGGACGGATGACGTCGTAAAAAACATCTTTAAAATGACCCCTAAGAGCCCCAAGCGGGTGTAAACGAAGCGGCCTCGTGTTTCCGTCGTGGTTTCAGAAACCGGAGTGCGTCATGACGTCGTATCCGCCGTTAAGCAGCTGGGTTCGTTTAAACGTATTACTGGCTCTCATAAACACGTTTGAATGTGCGAAATGTGGTTGTTGTGACACACAAATACCCACATGTCGCTCTGCTGACTGTCCTTTGTCCTGAATTATTGAATATTCATGAAGCCTGTTTGAGGACCACCTGGCCCACTTCCCCTGACACAAACTGTGACTTTGAATACTTACTGCACATTAAGCTGAAAATATGACAATATGAGCTGTTCTTGTTCACCTCATCACTGCTTTTTTTCCCCCTCTTATCACTGTGGATAAGCTATTCATCCTAAAATACTGTTCATTTATTGGTTTCCAAAACGTATGCTTTCAGATTTCTTCTACTTTTGCTTATCTGCAACATACACACGTTTTTATTGTTTTGTTTTGTTTTTTTTTTACATCAACAATAACTCGAGCAAGAACAAAACTATTGAAAAACTATTGAAGGGGGGAAAAAAGGCTGAAACTAAGCCACCTTTCTGTGAAACTGCACCCCATTCTAAATTAGACTCTACTGTGATTTATGACTTTGTTCTATTAATTACGCTTTATGAGCATCACTGCCAGATCTGTACAGGTGTGCTTCAGGTATTTTTTTTTCTGTGAAGTTTTAGTTCATACAAAGGAGTATATCTAAATAAATAAATAAAAGTTGCTAAACCTGGCCCCTAGCAATGTCCAAGCTGAGTCAAAACAGGCCTTTTGCTTGTTGGGTACGGGTGTGCACATGATGTTGTGTGTTCACTCCCTGATGCCCACAGGGTTTGTTCTCTGCTTTCTACTCTGGCTGACAAAATATCTCCTTTTATTCATTTCTATTTTAGTGCGCCATCTCTGCCTCAGAGAACAAATGTGTCTCTGGGAGAGTGGGCACCAAGCAAAAACAAAAACTAAGTGCCCGTGCATCTGGCCGTCTCGCTGCAGCTGTCGTTGGCCGCACGTGGCAAATCGCACTACTGTCACGTCAAATGCATAACAGCCTGTGTCCCGAGGCCGAGAGCTGAAAACGAGCAATATCGCGATATTAATTTGAAGAAAATGAGGTTTGGGGTTTGGGGTCACGCGGAGGGAGGGCGAGGAAAAAAGAAGAGCAATTATTTGCAGCGGAGAACTCAGCTGTGAGGCGACACAAACATGACCAGAATACGAACAAGCTCCCGTCATCCAGAGAGAGAGAAAAAGAGAGAAAACCTGCTTAGAATAATCACACCATCTCTGCAGCACACACACACACACACACACCCCGGGAAGCACAAATTACAGAAATTCTGTCAGCAGTCAAGGCAAATCACTTAAAGACATGTCTATGCCAAGATCAGATCATCAAAAACAATAGCTTCAGTCTGAAGTCCTGGTCCTTAGCTGTTCCTGCTTCCTGTAAAACAAGATAGACACCTTAGAACAGGGGTGTCAAACTCAAATACACAGTGGGCCAAAACTTTAAATTGAACAAAGTCGCGGGCCAAGTTGAACAAATGAATCTTTAATATGGACCCAAACAAGTTCTAATATAACATAATATGAACAAGCAAAGCTTATCTAACTTAAAAGTGCAGGTGTGCAAAATTGAGTTGCTAATAATAATAAAACATATTATTATATTAAATAAAACATATTTAATATATGAAGTAAAATATTAAATATATTAAATAAAATTTAAATAAACATTTAATGCCTCCTTTCTCATGCAAATGTCTAATATTAATTTGAAATTGCCTCGCGGGCCAAATATAATTACACTGCGGGCCAAATTTGGCCCGCGGGCCAGAGTTTGACACCTATGCCTTAGAAGGTCTTCATGAAGCCCAGGTAAACCCTGATAATGAATCATGGACTAGGACCTTTGCTCTTTAAGCAGAGAAACGCTTAATAACACGTCATCTTGTTCTCTTCAAAACAGTTTTTCAAATAGTGATTTTGAGAATGCTGCTCAACATCAATGTGTCTTTCTTTCCTCTACTTAATGCCTTAAAATACTAAAATGGGTATCTTTCCCTTTTTATTAGTTATTGACAAATCGAACATCAATAAGCAAATCAAAGAGTTTTTAAGCCCTTTTAATTTTATTTTAGCTTCTTGCAAAAATATTTCATTCATAATATGTAACAATTGAAATGTCAGAATAGTTAATGTGCTTTGTGATGTGTTTTCTTCAAGTGAACATTTTGGAGAAACAAGCTTTAGTGCTTTCTTTAAATGATTGTTTAGTTAATTAAATACATTCTGCTGGGTATAGATACATGTTATGGCTTTTTTACTGAATGCAGTAAACAGAGTGAGGGTAATGCAAACATTTTAGTTTTGGTAAATATCACAGCTACAATTAGCTCTTCTCTTTTCTCTATCTTTTTTTTTTCACCATTCCCTATTAATTACGGATAAACTGCTCAGGAAAAAAAGAGCTTAGAGTGCAGTATGTAATGCGCTTTTTTGCTGTCTATTTTTGGGCCAGTTTTATCGCGGCCGAGCCAAATCTCAGCCCGGTGTGAGTGCAAGCAGAGGCTCCTCAGATGATTATTCTGGAGGCCAAATAAACTCTTCATCGCTCTGCGACTTCATCTTGGCAAGTCCTTCATGGTCATGGAAACAGAATCAGACTGTCTATTCGCTTAGCTGTGTTTACTTCCTTTGGATGGTAATAACGTTAAAACAGTTTGTTTTCGAGAACATTTTTTAGGGAATTTTGAACCTAATGAGGGTGATTATTACTGAAAAAGCTTGAAATGATCACACCTTTGTCAGGCAAAATTCAAGTTTTCTATTTGGGAGCGAGTAGAGAAGGAGACTTTAAAATAGCTAACTACAATCATCATCTGACCCGAAACCTCATCCTAACTTGGACTTCCAGCTCTCACCATCGGCACGGCTTTGAACTGCTTGTGTCAAGCTTCTACGAATTTTACAGAGATTTCACGTGAAAGACAA